TGAGCCGGCACTTTTTACCCCAAAAATGTCACCTTCAAAAATTCACAGCTAGATCTGATGATGATATAGGAGCATCCTAAATTTCCATGCCTCGCAGCCGTTCATGGGTGTTAATGTCATTCCACGGTGCTTCTGCAGCTGTGTATTGGCACAGCCACGAGCTGCTCTTCTTAAACACAGAATACAGATTTCATGCGCGCTGGACTTCAAAAAGCAAAAGTAACTCCTTCCCTAGATGGGAATGTCAATGAAAGATGAAATGAATTGAATTCTTTCACGCACAGAGCCAACGAGCCGTAACATGGAGCAGCACACCAGCTCCCCATGTCAGCAAGCAAGGAAGAAACACACCGAGACCTCGTGCCAGATGCACCTTATCATTTCACTCGCATGCACTGACGGACGTACACATCGGTAGTGGCACCCCTTCCCTCTGGTATGCCCCTATCTCTCCATTCCCTGCCAAGGCAAGCGAAACACTTGCAAAGTGACCTACTCTCTGCAAGCATCTGGGAGGCCGCCCCACGCAGCGAGCTATCTGGCATGGCCTTCAAGATCTTCCATTCCTCTGCACAAATTACTCTGGTCATTCAGATAAAAGCAGAGGGAGATGAAGAAGCACTTGTGTCTGGAATTCCCTGAATTTCATTACCAACCACCAAGGGCTTAGCCAGGGCCAAGCTCTGTGGTTATTGCAAAGCCACGCTTTGATTTCAGGATGATAAAGGTCCTTTCACCACCACCGGTGAGCCTTGAGGGGTGCAACACGAGTGCAACGAGGAGCAAGAAAAGGCCCCCACGGTGATGCTGGGCTGAACTCACGCAAACGGGGCGGCTGTCACAGCATCCCCGCTGTGACGTGCACTGCCACGGTACTTCTGCTGCTCTTGTAGCGCTTAACCTATGTCAATGGCCTCCTGAGCCGGCCGCTTGACGACCTGATAGTGACAGACGTGTACTTCGGCTTGAGAAGGCGTGAGACCTGACACCTGCTCTCCCTTCCCACCTCCCTCCCACGTCTATCCACTTCCCTGCTGCCGGGTTATGTCAGCCCAAAAGGTTCTCTGGGGATGACAATAACAGCTGGTTCTCTCCAAACCACCTCCCCCAGTTGAAGAAAAATCTGCAGTCAATGCTTACATGCTTTTTATTGTTGACAAGGCACAAGGCGGGTGAGAAGCGACCTCACCCTCCCTCAGCTCTGCTGACTTTACTAGATTCCTGGAAAAAGTCAACTGAACAAGGTGCCAGTTGTAGCCCATTGTTTCTGAGAGCAGAGACAGGCTTGTAAACGTTAGGGCTTATGTAAAACTCTCTGAGATGCCAACTGTGCTCTTTTCATCCTGAGTTAATTATATTCAGTATGTTTTCATGAGGTCCCAGCTTCTGGAGCTATGGGATAACATAAAAGGATGAACCTTAAGGAATTTTTTAGCTGTTGTGGTGACAAGCTTGTGGAAAGCCTGAGAATTTGAACCCTCAGCCTGAAAACAAGAAACAGGTGCCCAAACGGGAATTTTAAAATACCTTACAATATCCTCTGGAGTGTTGGAGACTGAGTCGTGGTTCTGGGAAGGGCAACATAACATCTCTATCATCTGCTGCAGGACTTGACTAGGATGAAATTAGAGGTTTTCTGTAAGAATTCTGAGTCTCTGTCTCTTCTGTGGTAGGGATGGTCCTCAGCAAGTAGCAGGGGATGCCTGCCTGCTAAACTGGCATTAAATTAATAGAATTACAAGTGCTTAACAGCCTTCACAGATCAGGACAAGGCAACACAAGGTGTCTAAGCAGATTTAAGCATCTATCATTAAACATGTGAGTTTGAAGGCTTGGGCCCTAACTTCTTTGTGTCACTTTTTTCCTGTGAAGTAGGTCTAAATCTAAATCTGTGCCTCATCACAGCCTCATGAGGTTATTCTAGTGCCTGCAGAGTAACCTGAGACTGAATGAGACGGACAATGCCAGTGTGACAACTAGCACTTAGTAAGGGCAAGCTCTAGAAGGAGCAGTTTGTACTAGGGACACACCAAGCTAAGGTAAGAAGAGCAGGGGAGGCTTGACCAATGTTTCTCAGCTATTCCTAGGCAGGGCCCCAAGTACAGCTCCTGTCGCCAGAGGCCAACTACACTGACACAGCCACTGTAGTGCGACTCTGAGACCAACAAATGGGAACTTGGCCAGGTCAGGCTTTAGTGGCTAAAGCTGTCACAGGCCACTTGCAGACAATGCCAGCTATACTTCTTACTGTCCCCTGACCATCCTGTCCCTCCCTTCTCCTCTCCTCGTAAAACCTTAGTGGCACTTCTAGAGGAACTCACAGAACTATTTCCTGATGGAAACAAATAAAAGTATGACATGTGCTGAGGGACATGGCAGGGATTAACCTTCCTCTCCGAGCCTTTTCACACACCTACACGCAGAGCCCAGGCTCCCGCGGCTCCAAGTGATTTGTGCATTACTACTGTCAGCTCAGCTACCCCCATTCCCATCCGCTTCCAACCAGCACCTTCTACATTTTGTTCTGCCCGTGCATCACCACGCCACACAAAAGCCCCCCTTCTCTTTGAACAGAGCCCTCAACTCCGTGGCCACACAGCCCAGTCCTGCTGTAGCCCCCTACACAGTATTCACATATACTTTCTTATTTAGTAACAGAATTATATATTTTCTGCCAAAGATGCTTCTCCTTTGTACAGATCAAGGGGCGACTGAGCTCTTTGCCAAGCAGACCTCTCAAACACATGGTGTTAAAACCAAAAGGGCCCTTGTAATTGTGGCGGAGAAATGTTTCTTCCCTGCTACATATTGTACCATAGGTACAGCAACAGCTCCTTATTCACAGGGAGCTGAGGATGACGCGGTGACTTTGCCGCTATGACCCCAATGCACAGAGAGCAGGCGGGGGGCACAGGTCCGTTCCTGAGAGGACAATCCAATGGCCTGGATGTGGCAAGACACAGTTCACCCCGCTCAGCCAACAGTCATGAGATGACAAGAGTTTTAGGCCCGGGTTCACCACACTGGTCTTTGGGTTTTGCAGGAGACATTGTGCCCTGCTCTTGGATGTGAAATCGCTCCGGAGGAAGGGCCATAATCTGACCGAGCTGGCACGCAGTGTTCCACAAAACTCAAAATTTCAGGCATTAGTCATCTGCAAGCCCTCACACGACAGCAGCTCCATTCATGAAGGAAAGGATCCCTTTCCCGTAAAAGTCCCCAATAATAACCACAAGCCCAAAAAGCCCTTACATGGAGACGAATCTCAGTGGGACCAACCAGGCTACTTTCACCGTTTGCGCAGAGCAGGAGGCAAACAGCACTTCGATTATCAGTCATCTTCATTAGGAACAGGGAGGGGGGTTTTCACAAGCGCCGGATGGCCTGGCAAGCAGGACTAGTGCTGAAAGACGAAGGGCCTTTTGCTCCTCAGCCAGCCAGGAACTTCAAAGCCTTTTTCATTCAGCTGCCGTTACCGCGGTACACGCATACACAACTGCTGTTAAGGTATCACCAGCCTTGGCGAAGGTAAAAGCTGCTCGACTCCTGCTACAACTGCCTGCTGCAAACACAAAGTAGACAGCTCTCTAAAAGGTTTTTTATCTATATAAAACTTACATGTTGTGTGTCCAACAGAAACAATGCAGAAATCACCACGTGAGATTTTGTGAAGCGAGTTATGCAAGAGGTCGGATGAGATTACAGTACAACAATTTTCCAGCTGCCTGCATTTCAGTCAGAAGATGCCAATTTGAAGAAAAGTGCAAATCTGTGATGAAAGTATATCAAAATTGCTCTACTGTAAAAAAACATTTTGGTCCAGGATGGAAATTTATGTTTCCCAGAACAGGCACAAACAGCCTAGATCACAAAAATCTCAGTTCAAGCCCTGTAATAGATCAGTGAGAACAAGACTTTTGTGCTTGCTCGCAGCTCAAGTGCACACACCTCTACAGCTATCCTCTCTTCATGGCCTGAGGAATACTGACTTTATAATAATAAAGAGCTCCAAGAAGTGAGTGGGAGAGTGTCACTTCAGACTAGCTAGTCTGATCAGAGCCAGCTTCCCACACGCCCCACTGATTTCCCTCCCATCGAGTAGGTTAGTGCACATTTCTGTCTCTTTTGGGTCTTTTCCTTGCCAAAACACAACCAAACTCCAAAATACAATGGAAAAACTGAAAAGCCTAAGCACGATAAGAGAATCCAAACAATCCCTTTTGCCTTTCAAGTCTAGGAAAGATGTTTCTTGCTTCCCAAAGGCTTAAGTTACAGGATCAAACTCTGTAGTGGTTTTTATAGGGAAGCTCCCCGCAGTGCCAAGTCTCAGTTAAGGCAAGATGCAACAGGTAAGTGCAAATCTGCAGACGGAGAAGGGGTGAGACAGCAAGAGGGCTACTACAACTTTGCACCATGAAGCAAACAGAATAAATAAAGCAAAACACATTCAAACTCTTCCGAGGTTGCTTGGTTTTTGTTATTTGCTTGTTTTTCCCTGAAGTGTTAACAAGAAGAGAAATGAAAATGTTTAGTCACCAGGTTAAAGTCCATGGTTCCCTTCAGAAAAGTATATTCACCCTCCTCTGCTCTCCGTAGGATTTTCTTGAGCAATTGGAGGATGCTATTTTCAAGGCCAGGACTCCAGTCGGTTCATTGTTACACCTCTTTGTGTTGCCTTTTCTTTCAATGAAAACCAGCTAAAGGTTTGCAGGAAGGAGCCTCAGGGCTGCAACAGATGTCACAGCCACTTCCTACAAATTAGAAAAGGAAAGTAACCCCCTCAGGTTAATTACGGGGAGAGGCCACACACGGAGCTGTGTAATGAGCCTGTAGGATGGAAAGAAGGCAACTGTTTCATATTGGGTTTCAAGAGACAGAGCATGAAATCTCTCGTGCTGACTATATGCTTTCACACTGCAAGAGCAATGCCTTCTCCTCCGGGGAGGACACAAGCCCTACTGTCTGGGGCAAGCAGTCGAGCTGAGGAAGGACACGCTTACGTTGCTCGACCACTCTCCGACGACGTCTCTTGGCATAGACGTCTTCCCGACGGACGGCTACTGCAGCGGGCTGCTCTCTGCGGCTCAGCACGCTGGGGCTCTGCACCTGCCTCCCTATTTACACAGGTGCAAGGTAGTTAGAAAGCCACAGCCTAAGGACTAAAGCGTAAAGACCGGGACTCAGCTGACCTGGATGTTGTTTCTTTCCTGGCGGGATGAATAGGCCAAACTCCTTTCATCTTTCTCTGCTTCATTTCCTCATCTGTATAATGGAGACGGTGGCATTTATCTTTTTTTTTTATATATAAAGTGCTTAGATTTTCACTAAGGGAAAGCACAAGAACAGTCCTAGGTAGCATCATCACCAGAGACCCCTGTGAGCGCACAGATTATGACTTTTTTCTCTCTTTTCCTTTTCTTTTGCATTCCCTTCTCCTCAGCGGGTTGGTCCAGGATTGTCTGAGTGCCCATGTTTCATGAAACTGTTTTCTTAGGGCTTGGGTCACTTTAAAAAGTCACAGATGCTCTTTTAAAGTAAATTGGGGCAGCTAAGCAATTGTAACTCGGCCACGAACCTTAGCTGAAGAATCAGCCCCATGTTTCCTTCAATTAAAATACACATCCATGGTCAGGTTAGCATGACCTGACAACAAACCCAGCAACGACAAAAACAACAACCCTGAATGAGCCAGTTAGCATGCCTAGAAGATTTATTTTAGTGTTGGGGAGGAAATAGCTTGAAGTTTACTTAAAGTAGGATTTGCATATTCAGGGTTTTAGTGACAGTTAATGTATTCACCCACAAATGAGAAGAATCTGGGCAAAAGCTGGGCTACAGCTTCACCTGGGAAGCCATCACCGTTATCAGAGGAGAGTTCACTGGGATCAAGGCAACGTTGCACAGGCGTAGCTGACCTCCTGCTGCCAGGATGGCCACCTGTAGCTGCTCCTGAAGAAGAAGGGATCAGTAACTGCATGATTTACTGAACTCGTACAGTGGCCGGGAGGAATGGAAAAGCTCAACATTTTCAGTCCAAAAGAGGCATTTTGTTGACTTTCCATCTTGTGGGGAAAAAAAGGTGAAACACTCTGGGTTTGTTCCAGTGCAGAACAGTAGGTTTTTTCATCTCGAAAAAGCAATGGGAGATAGATCTGCCATCCTTTGGACAGCTGTAATCACAGCCTCCTCCTGTAATCTGTTCCCATGTGTCTGCACATCACTTCTAACACTTTTGTTGACACTGCTCAAAACAGGGGCCAAGCAGAAAGGTCTGAATTGTTTCAAACTTCTCATAAAGCATGATCGGTACAGATTAACACACAGTTACCTCACTGACAAAAGCACCAAACAGTGATTGTGGCATTGGATTTTCATCACCACCGATCACTCCCAAGAGCACAGGAAGATATTCACAAATACACTAAAAATGACTAGTGGCCAAAAAGTACCCAATGAATATTAAATATCTTTCGATTTTTCCACACCCGAAGACAAACAAACAATCTCCACACTTGAACTGCCAGTTTGCATGTCATCCTACTTCCCACTTCTTGCAAAAAAAAGGCACGCCAAATCCACCCGAGTTTCAGCAGGTAGATTAGAGGCTAAGTAAAACTGGTTTTCTTGAGCAGGATTAGCTTGAGGAGCTTCTGAGTTACTCTGTCTGCCTTGCAGGCACCCTGTAAATACTCAGAGGCACCCGTTTGTCTTCACTGCTGCATTATCCTTGCCAAATGCATCATCCTTGCACGATGGATCTACCTGATCTGTGGGGTGCGGGTGTGCACGCCTGTTACCTTGCATGTGCATCTACTGGGGAGAAAAAGAGTTTGTGGCCTGCATATTTCAAGCCAAACACCAAAACTGTGCAGATATTAGAGGGAGACACATTGACTACCCTGTCCCAACGGTGCCGCATGGCACCCAGCTGAGCTACAGGAATGTGGCACGGTAGGTCTTCAAAAAATGACCATTCAGCAGAGTTAAATGAGCAGTTTCCATTTCTTGCAGCAGATATGAGGGAGACAAACAGTCCATCTGGGCAATTCTCAATGTCAAGCGCAACAGGATGGCAAGGCAGCCTGAAAAAATGAAAAAATACAGCAAGTCTTGTTCGTACTTGTACCAAATTTTCTTTGCCTCAAAGGATTTCTCTAAGATTTAAACAAATAATAGGATCAGAAGGTTTCAAGAAGCTCCCACAGGCTCTTAAGAGGCTTGATCCAGCCCCCAGTGCAGTCAATATGTTTTAAAAAAAATAATCTCCAACTTAAACACAGCTATCACCATCTACCCCAGCTGAGGATCTCTCACCCTGACTTTAACGGGAACACGACCAGGCTGTTTGCCAGCACTTTTGGCTCTGCTGCAGTAGGAGTGACGTTCAGGTATGCGTGACCACTCACCACCAGATTTCTTTACAATGACAAGCTTTGAAGTCAGAGCGCTTTGCTCTCCTTCCACAAACCATTTTCACTCAAAACAATAACTATTTAAACAGGAGCCTCACCAAAACCATTTCAGATTTTTTTTTACTCCTCTGTGAACAATAAAATATAGTTTAATCACAAAACCAGAGAGACCTGCCTGCTCCACAGTAGCTATTCGGCGTAGACTGGATAGCCCAATGCTGAGCCATCTCCACTATTTTAGAGCTCTGGGAGACATGGCCCCAGTGGCTTCACCCAATATTACGCTGAAACAACAGAAAGAACAAAATCGAGCAAATGACCCTTTTTGCTGAAAATCTTGTTAAGCTCTTCCTTACAAAAATGTGGGACCTCATCCTGCCTATTCAGAGGAAAAGATAACACCTGCGGGAAGCAGGCGAAAGGTCAAAACCTGGTACCTCTGTGTTTTCCTAAGCACAGAGCTTGGCACCAGCACAGCGGCTGCGAACAATGGCAGGAGCACCGCGCGTGTTTTCTTTTCCCTTCAAGTAACATTTTTGCTGCAGTGTCATCTTTCTGCTCAGCCAAGCAGGCGCTCTGGGTCAAATCAGCTGCGCCAGCCGTCAGCAGATTTTTTCTGGCCCTTTCAAAAGATCGTCAGGCATTGCACTAAGAAGCCAAATCGGTGAAAAAAATGGGTGGGGGGAATAAAAAAAGTCGACAGATTGCCCACAAGTTTTACCGGTCAGGCACTCACATGACTGTGAAACAATCAGCATTCTTGTGGTGAAATGTAGCAGCTTTAAACCAGCAATCTGGCTTTGCTCTCTGGAAAACAGTGTGCTTTCTTGAAAAAGCTAAAACCAGGGTATTACAGCTTGACAGCTTCAAAATTCCTCCGACTTCCCGTAGGAATCGCTCACAAAAGAGCCGGCTGTTCCCCAGGGCTGGATGTCAGGGAAACAGACCCTTGGATGCAAAACCCTAAGGGAAGGCATACTTCCATTTATCCCATCTTTTATGTTTCGGCTTAAAGTGGCTTGTTTATAATTGTTGGATTTTGGTGAGAGAGGCTTCACCTCTCCTCACAGTTCCTGTAACGCAGCAGTAAGAGCTATGGGGCCTGTTGGGTCACTTCCCAAATAGAGAAGAGAGGAGAAAACTTAATTTCACGTCTTTTGGCAAGCATCCTCCAGCAGACACGGGCACAAATAGCATGGAGCACAGTCCCACTTTCACAGCCTTTTGCGCAAACCATATCCCTTTCTAGGAGCCACCGTGCACCAGCAGAGCAGAGAGAGAAGAGGCACTGAACAAACTTCATCGCTATTTGCCAGGGCTTCCATAAAAGAAAAAGCATTTTTAACATGAAGTAGCATTTCTAAAATGAAACAGCGTTTTTAAGAAACCCCATCCTTTCTACACAAAATATCTTCAAGGGCTGTTTCTGTCCCAAACAAAAGAAACTGAGGAGTCACATATGGGACTTCCATACGTAACAGCTACCATGAGTCTCTGTGGTTGTGGTGAGAATATACAGGTTGTGAAAACTGATGAAGACAAAAGTTTAATTGCTCATAATTTTGCCAAACAGAATTGTTTGGGCTAAGATTTCCCGGACATGTAACTAGATTCTTATGAGAGAAAAATAGTAGGAGAACATCTAACTAGAAATTCTATGATTTGGCATAAACACACGAGCTGAACTAAGGCAGCAAAGGACATTTTCTTCAAGTCTTTATTTTGCAACCTCAATAACGTGTTTGATGTAATTTTATATAATGGTAAATACATTTAATGGATGGTAAGTGAATCCTAATTCCTAGTACTTGTGAAGCAAAGGAGTTGAACTAATTGTTGCTGCGCATTAAGATACAGATTACAGCCTTATTTTCTATTTTTATGGTACTAAAAGAGTGGCCTTCAAGCTTACGCTCTCCCTGCTGCCTCTTCTCATGTGACCTTCCTCCAGTTTGAACTGTAGTGAAAGACAGATAAAATCATTTCTAAAATGAGACGGAGGCCTGAAATGCAAATCAGAGGAAGAAGTCATCAGAAAGGGGCCTTCGTATGGATACGATAGGTTATCGGGTCTTTACCTGCCTGGTAATCAATCCTGGTGCCTGATCAGCTTCAGGGGATGGACCCAGCAGGCGCACAAAGGCTCTTTATTCCCTCTGCTCAAGTTGTGACTTGGCTATAAAGCCTAACTCACCGGGAAGGGCAAGGTGGAGCTGGACACAGGGCCTATCAGGTAACGTTAATGTTCAGCCAAGATATGGACCTTGTGTTTGAACGAGACAGACAGTCTTTGAAGAACATAATCTGTGTGGCCAACAATGGCTGGACTGAAAGGAACTCGCTCTGGTTACCTTATAGGATGGTCCGGTAAAGTGCAGTTGGATTCTTATCAAGATGTTGGGTTTAGGGGTTTTTTTAAACATTGATTCATATGGTAACGGCTGTGAATACAAAATGCAAGGTCTTCAAAGGGAGGAAACATGAGCAGGGTATAGCTTTGCCCAGTTCACGTTAAGGTTGCACACTTTTGTTCTATGTGATTTTTTTTTAATATATAAACCCTGCTATCCTCACAGAGACTAATCCTATCCATGCCTTTTCAGATTCCCTCCAATTCCAGTTGGATACAGGCTCGCCAGCAGCAGCGAAAAGCAGCAGCTCTCCTGGGGAGCTGTGTTTCTCAGATTGACCTTAGCTCTGTT